AAAAGCCAGGAAGCCAGACTTAATCTTTCCAGTGCTTTCTTGATGGCCCATTGTCTGAATCTGGAGCAGAATCACACTGTCACTACACCCTGAGAACTCTCTCATTGTATGGAAATATCTATGAGGAGCAACTAATCCCAGTGACATTTTAGCCCTTTCTTCCCTGCTTCCATTTAATCTCTGGGGGCAAACCTGTGATAGACTAAAACATTAGCTTTACTGTAATTTTTCCCAGGTTATTATTTTATCATTTTATTGAGCTGTCAGGGCATAAGGTAACTAGCAGATTGCATGGAGACCACACCACAGTTAGAACCTTTAAAAAATGGCTTGGAGGAATAGCAAGTGCATATGCAACCACTTCCAAACATCTGTCAATTTAACCACCTCAGTGTCAAGACAAACACAAGCACCTCTGACCTCCTACTGTCACATACATGTCATCAGCACGCTAATGATTTAAAAGAAGCAATCTCAGACAAAGCTGCCCAACAGCTCAAATTCTGGTACAAATTCTTAAAAATCTCATTATTAGATGTTGGGCTTTAATATAGTTGCAGTCTCATATCTTAACCAATACAACTTGTTTTATTGCAAAGCAATTCAATATTTAATTGACCACTTTTATGAAAAGTTCAGAGATGAAATATACATTATGTGTAATATATGGCATAAAGGAGGTCCATGATCTCTTAAGATGTCTGTATATGTGTTCTTATGTTTGTGTAATGTGTGTGAGTGTAAGCAGAGGGAGTGTAAGTGTTCTTTTGGTTGATAGAAAAAAGATCCAAAACATAAAACTGAGCTGAAACAAGTGGAAAATAAGGTGAAAAGGGTGTGAGTTGATTTTTTTTTTCAATACAATGATGCTTAAAGGGATTTCCTTCCAAATACTTAACTGGAAACTTCTCATGAAGTGTCTTTTCTCCTTTATGTGTCCCTATTTTTATTTCTTCTAAGTAAAAAAAAAAAAGGATAATATTATGGATAAAGACAAATAACTGGGTCAAACTCTCAGTGATACAGATCCTGAAGTAATCTTAACCTTTGACAAGCTCTAGATCTTGGTCAAGTGTTCCCTTCTCTTCCACTTTCAAGTGAGGAAAATGATAAATAATAATTACTTCTTCGGTGCATTGTGAGGATGAAGATTAATGATAGAGGTGTAAAGTCCAAACAACTTGCACATAAAAGGCACCCACTTCAGGAAAAGCAAAAGATTCAATTAAAGAAAACTGGTGCTTTTTCTGGATTTAAGTAAAATTGAGAACAACGCAGATATTTTTCCTCAAAGGTATGCTGAAATGTATATCTACTTAGTCACCTGGTACAACACATACATATATAAATCAATAAAGCTTTCAAAAAATACATCGTTTGAGTTTGGAGTATAGGAAATGACAATTTTTTCTTGTTGAATGTTAAGGCCAATCACTTAATCTTGGAAAATCCAGAATTCAACAGTTGAAGTTCTCACCTATACTCTAATTCAGTTCTTTGGGGTCTGTATGGCTCTTTGTGTTACTCTGCAATCTGTTTCACCTGCACCTTAATAGGGGGCCAAATTGTTGTGGAGTCCCAAAACTTCACTGTGGAATGTTCTGGTCTTTTAGACTCAAAAAAAAAAAAAAGTTTAGATTTAATGGTTTTATGGCCCATCAAATCCTGTGTGGTAGTCTCTAATTGCATTCGGGGTTAAGAATTTTTTTTTTTAAATCTACTTTTTGACAAATTAACAAGAATTTGCTAATATGTTGAGCATTCCTGGAACCTATTATGTGCAGTTTAATCTTTCCTTATTCAAGGTCCCAGCACTCCCTCATGTGGTGTTTCTCTGCATTAACAAGTCAAAAGCAGAGGATGAATGAAGGTATCTTTTATCCCTTTCTTTTCTATATCTCTGTTAAAATGGAGCAAAAAAAGCTGATCCCTGGAGGATGGAATAAAATTTATTGTAGCCACTGTGCATAAAATTACAGTGATTTCCATGAAAATGTTCTAAAAGCAGTAGGCTGTACAGGCAGCAAGGACACTTGACTCATCTTGCAAGACAGAATTTAACCTTAATACCACCTCTTAGCTGCAGCTAGCATGGATATTGACTATTGCTATTTCCTTCAATATGTTAATGAGTTGTAGAGATGACTCAATTTATGAGGCTCATATGAACGATTAAACTTAAAACACAATAGTTTCAAATATTGTTACAAGTAGTGATTTAAAAAAACTGCTTATGTATTTTAACAATTTCAATTATGATAAGGGGGCTAAAGTACCTACTGTAACATACCTCTTATTCATAAAACAGTGCATGGCAGACTGTTCTCCATCAGTGTTTTTCAGTTGTTTTCCTTCCATTTAAAATAGCTTTAGAAGTTTTCGTATTTGTTTATAATCTAGATCCCTTTATTTATATTCCTGAATTGTATATATTGCCTATATTTGCTGATAACATATTTCATATGTCATGGCTTATCTCATCCTTTCAAAGTTAAAGGGATAAACTTTAAAAAACCATAGAATATCTGTAGTTAATATTCCAGGATAATATTGCCTAGAGTTATTACTGCAGTAAATGACATTAAAAACACCAGTAACTGGCCAGGGAACCATAGACAGAAGTAAAAAAAAAAAAAGCAATTAATAATCTTGATAAGGTGTGTAACTTCTCTAAGCCTCAGTTTTCATATCCACAGGTGTTGGAGAAAATCCTGAGCTTTGCACTCATACATGCTAAGATGGTGGTAAGAGATGAATGAGGTAATAAATTCAAATTGCCTGCACACATTAATGAAATGAAAGTTGGCTCTCATCATTTTTCACAAGACTTTAGAGAATCACTCTTAAGTTTATATAGCATTTATTAAACATCAATGTATTTTCACCAAGAACCAGGGAGAAATTCCAAGGACCCTGTGAGAAATGAAAAGTAAAGTCTCACTCACACCATCATCTAATTTCTCCATGGCTGATATAAAAAGTAGAAGGGAAGAGGTGGGATTTCAGAACTTTAAGGAAGGCAGCTCTCAACTCTGAATGGTCTCTTTGTATTTGATAAAACTTTAAATGAAGGCAAAACAGTCTGTATTCTGAAAGAATATCTACTCCTTTTGTGAATTATTTTTTCTTTCTTTTGAGTTCACTCATTATGGAAGTTTTTTCTTTGTTTTTGTATGAGCAGCAGAATTCTAAAAAAACTGTTCTTTTGAACATGCAACACAAGTTGCTGTAGACTCAGTGATACACCCAACTTCCTGAGATCCTTCGTCCTCTGAGGACACAGAAAGTAAACCTCTGGTCTTGCTCAAGCAGCTTATTTTGTCAATGAGAAAAGGTAATGCTACAGAGTGAAAATGACCTGCCACAGAGGTGGAATAGCTGGTGGTGACCTTCCACATAGGTCAGATGTCTCGGCCTGACAGCCCAGGGGACAGCTCTAGCCCACAAAATTGTTTGCTTTGGCCCAAACATTGTTGCTCTAAACAGCATTTTAGAGAATTTTGATTTACTTGCCAACACTTAAAAACCAGGAGATTGCATATAAAAATCAAGTGTTCTAGCATCTCTCAAAATTGTTGAAGATTTGGCAACCCCAGATGCCCTCCCTTCAGGCAATATGAACTAATCCTAACACATGATTGCTCCCTTCCCATGGAGCCTGAAATCTCAAGTTTGCTCCAATCTTTACCACAAATTTTGTTGTTTCTTAACTTTACCCCATTTGAATATTCACATTATCAGTCTGATCTTTTCTTTTTTAAAGATTTATTTATTTATGCATACAGAACTGGGGTACAGGCCAGAGGTGCAGGGGCAGTGAGAGGATTCATCAGAGACAGAGTAGGGTGCAGAACAGGCTGACTGATGAAGTACACTGCTGAGGGGAGCAGTGGGCAGGCCAGGAGAGGTCTGCCGCGCCATGTGGGTCACCTCCAGGGCAGGGATCGAACTCATGCTAAGTGGCTTTAGCCTCTTAGTGCTGTGCTGTAACCCGCTGCACCACCAGGGAGGGCCCTCAGTCTGATCTTTAAAGCTGTCTTTTGAGATTCCTGCATAAAGCTTTAAAAAAATATATCTTCAGAGAAGTAAACAGAGCAATTTTCATTCCCACTAAGGTGCAAATGGAGTTTACTATGCTGGAAGTGTGTTTTTAATGTGGAGAACTATGCTGGGGATTCTAGACTGTGGAAGCAATAAAAAAATGCCCATTTTTGTGAAGATTTTCCTAGCTTTTTTTCTCCTGTGACCTTCACAAGACTCCCTAGTGCTAGGGCCTAGCAAAGAAACAACAGGGTGCAAAATTACAAGTAATTTGTTGTTTACCTGAAACTCAAATACAACTGGCTGTCATGCTTAGCATCAAGATATCTGATATAATTCATTATCATTTCTAAATCAAAAGATGAGATTTATGACATGTACACCTTTCAAATGTTAACAGATTAAAAAACCTCTTTTGTCTTGTTTTCTAAATTTCTCATCACCCCCTCGTAAAGGCATTTGGAAATACTTGATTGGGAATATAACCCATCAGGAAAAAAGAATCATAGTCACACAAAAATGACAGAAAACTTCACCAACCAGGTCACTGCATTTGCTCTTTCATTGTGAGGGTCGTGTGGGCTCAGGAAGCAAGAAGTCTTTGGGTAAGAAAGCCAAGATGTTGAGCTTCATCTCAGTCACTAGCTAACTGTATGATATTGAGTCAGACATCCACTGTGAGATGTTGCTGTTAATATTCACAATATAACTCAAAGCAGTTGAGCCAGTACTCTGTTCTAGGCGTGGTTTAAGTACCTATTTGTGTGTGGACTTATTTTTCTGCTCATGGTAATCTAATGTGGCTGTTATTATTTTCATAAATATCTTGTCCAAAATTCACAGGCTAGAAAACAAAGGAGCAGGACATGCACAGACAGGCATTTGGGTAGCCAGGTCAATTATCTTAATTTTGGTGAGTATAAAAATAGCCAGGAAAGTACTTTAAAGGAGTCACCCACCTCGCACAGTCGCCAGCTCACCATCCACGTGGGCCATGCACTGCATGGCAGTGGCCCCCACACATATTGGCATGCTGACCCTCTGCCCTAAAACAGAAGTGGAAAGGTCTATTTCGGCAACATTCCGGAGCATCCGCGGGTACAGTTTCCATCTGAATTTAAAAAAGAAATAAATAAAAATTTTAGAACTCCTTAAGTATAATTGAAACTTTGACATCACATGTAAGTTAAAAAGAGATATTATTCTCATAATTTCCCATCAAGCAAAGTACAAAGATAAAGGAAATGGGGGGATTTTAAAGTTTGTTAAAATGAAAAGTTAACAATAATAGGTTAAGATGGAAACAACCTAAATGCCCCCAAAATAGATGACTGGATCAAGGAGATGTGGCATATATGTATATTTCCACAATGGAGTACTATTCAGCAATCAAAAAGATAAACTCATGCTGCTCACAGCAACATGGATGGAGCTAGAGGAGATTATGCTCAGTGAAGTCAGAAGGAAGAAGAAAATATTAGATGGTTTCATTTATAGGAGGGATATAAGGGAATCAAATAAGGAATCAAGGAAAAAAACAATAACAAAAAAAATTGGCAGGCAACTATGAATCAGAGACACAGTGAGGGGGAAGGATCAGAATAGATGAGGAAAGAGCACAGGGGCTATGGCCATTGTGCGTGAGTAAATTGGTGGTGGGAATTCTATGGGGACTACACCTGATAGGAGAAAGCAAACATTGTACAAAAATGAACAATGATGTAAAATATATAAGTAAATAAGTTATATTTTATAAAATGGAAAGATACCAATAAATTCCTCAAGCCATTGTTCTTGGTAAAGTATTATTAACATAAAGTAGAATCCACCCATTTGAGTTGTGTGAGGTTTGGCAAATGCACAGTCACACAATTACAAAGACAATCAGGAGCTAGAACAATTCAACCACCTTGAAAAATGCCGTTTCCTTTTTCAGTGAAAGTCTCTCTCGCCAACGCTTATCAACTACTGATCTTTTTTGTCTTTATTACTTTACTTTGAAAAAATGTCATATAAGTGGAATTATATAGTGTGTAGCCTTTTTAGTCTGGTTTATTCCACTTTGTATAATGCAAGGCTTATCCACATTGCTGCATTAAAGTTTTGGTCATTTTGGAAGAAAAATATATTCCACTGCATGGAGGTAACACAGTTTATTTATCTACTACCCAGCTAAGAGATATCTGAAAGGTGTCCAGTTTGCAGCAATTATAAAATAAAGCCACTATTAACATCTGGTGAAAGGTTTTGGTGTGAATATAGCTTTCAATTCAATGTGCTCAATTCATTTTGAAGATGATATTCAAAAGATATGAAAGTTATAGTTTAATAAGATATGCTACATCTGTCTTGTCTTTTTTTTTTTTTTGATAGAAGACAATACCATTAGGCAACTCCTTTTTAAAATTATAATTTGCTTTCCTCAAAATCCTTGAATTTTATATTCACTTAAGTATGATGATAGGGAAAAATAATGTTTGTTGGTTTAATGGAACATTTTCCTCAAAATTGTTACTTTGCAAAGACTGGAGTTTTGGCTAACATAATTTCTGATCCCTTTCACGAAGATGCACTGAAAGTAAAAAGGAAGTCCCAGTTCTACTCAAAACCCAAGCCAAAGCAAAAGTTTTAAAGACCAAGAAAGCAGTGCTGCAAGGTATCCATGGCCACAAATAAAAAATCCATGTCTCAAATTCCAGAGCCTAAGCTCTGCAGATCCCAAAGCAACCCAAACATCCTCAGAAGAGCATCCCCAGGAGAAACAAGCTTGACCACTATGTTGACATCAAGTCCCCCTGACCTCAGAGTCAGTCATGAAGAAGACTGAAGACAACACACTTGTGTTTGTGGTGGATGTCAAGGTAACAAGCACCAGATCAAACCAAACCTATGACACTGACATGGCCAAGGTCAACCTTCTGATCAGACCTGATGAAGAGAAGAAGGCATTTGTTCCATTGGCTCCTGATTAGGATGCTTTTTATATTGCCAACAAAATTGGTATCATTTAAACTGAGTCCAGCTGGCTAACTGTAATATAAATTTTTTTCATCATAAAAAAAATGACTATTTTCTTGGCTCCTGGACATTAGCATTAGTGACTTTTTCTTTGAATCTTCTGTTTGGGGATGAAAACTACAAATAAAACCAAGAGCCAAAATATTTCTTAGCAAATTTTGTATCTCCCATTTGCTCAGAATGATTTTTATCTTCATTAGTTACTGATGAAAGCTGAAGAAAATACAGTCCTATTTCTAACAGGCACTAAGACAATAAACATATGTGTAGACATACATATACCAGGCAGTGCCCAGCTCTCGACAACTCCTTCCAAAGAGATCAAGATTTTTGGTTATATCGAACTCTCTGGTGGCGCAACGGGTTAAAGCACAGCACTATGAAGCTATGGCAGCCACTGCAGCACAAGTTGGATCCCTGGCCAGGGAGTGATCCACATGGTGCATCAGACCTTTCCTGAACCACCCACTGCTCCCCTCAGCAGTGTTATTTCTGTCCATCTGCCTGTTCTTCCTGCTCTATCTCTGGTGAATCCTCTCACTCCTGGCACCTCTGGTCTGTACCCCAATTCTGTATGCATAAATAAATAAATCTTAAAAGAAAAAAAAAGAAAAGTATAGCAAAGTGTGATCTAGTAATGAAGGAACTGAAGTAAATTAAAACTCCAAAGTCTCAAATGAAACCCACTCCCTGTAGTGAAAACAACTGCCTTCGTGTCACTTTGTGAAATAACTATGGGTCTGTAATCTAAACCTTCCTCACGTAATAAAGTAAAAACATCCAGCCTCTGAAAAGCATAATAAAGAAATTTTACTGTGTGATTTCTCTTCAATTCCTTTGAACATCATAATTGTCATTATTTTATGTCACACCACATGTTCCACTGCTGGAGTCTTTTCTTCTCCACTGACTCTCACAGCATGATTCTTTGATCTCCATTTTGAAGGGGGAGCAGCAGAAGGCTTGAAGAGAGTTTTTATTACCAATCATCTCTAAGTATATTATTAGAATGGTAGAAAAAAGATTTTAATAGCAGCTGTTGGTATGCTGGCCTTGGAAGGCATTGCTATTTACTTAGAGCTGAAGAAACAATGAAAGCTTTTATGAAGAGCACACACAGAGCTGTAAGGAATCAGCTGTGCATGTGTGTATGTATGTATGTGTGTGTGTGTGTGTGTGTGTATGAGGCAGAAGGGACATTTTTAAATGTCCAGTTCTCTTTTACTAGAAGGCAAGGTGCACAACTCCTATCTCCTGGAAGTAGTTCTATGTTAGTCCACATGGTGGTGCAGTCACTGCTCTTTTCCATCTTTGGTTTTATTTGTTCCGAGGATGACATTACAGACTCATCACCCAGTACACAAAAGGCAATTCTGAGGAAAGCCAGACAAACTCAATGGGGTAGGAAGTATATGTTTTCTAAATATTACTCCACATTTTGATATTTTCTAAGAAGCAATTATAGTTAACCTTGTTCAAATAATTCTAAGATTTCCAAGTCCCACCAAATCTTACGCACGATTTAAGTGATTTTTCCACAATCTTATGTAAAATAGTAGCCGACTACAATCCTGGGAAAAGAATATGAAGATTGACAAAACAAATGAACCAAATGAATAACAAACCTTTTTCAAAGGATGGGAAATAAGCTGTCTGAGTAGAGGGAGCACGTAAAGGTGGGGATCCATTAGCAGAGCTTTCTATTCATACTTTACACCCAAAAAGCTTCTCAAACTTAATTTATTAAAAAATCAAGTGATATTCAGACGCTCCAAGAGGGAGTATTCTATTCAAAGAAGACACTCGTCACCAGGCTTACAAACCCTAGGCTGTTTATTGAATCCTGCCACCTGAACACATGAATTAATTTTTACAAGTCTGCAAGATAATCAAATTGCATGCTAATATCTCCACATTAATTTTTTTACTCTAAGCATTTAAAACTCATAAAAATTTGTATATAAAATACACAAATTTATAATCCTAATTTTTACTTTTCATTTTAAATATTGTGAAACTTTTTAAATATTTGACTAAATTGCAATCATTCTCCTAAACACCTAGTAAAGAAATTAGGAGAGCAGGAATTTATTCTGAAGAAAACACAACAGTGGCTCTGCCTGGTGGTGGCACAGTAGGTTAAAGCACAGCACTGCATGCTAGCCACAGCTGCTTAATTGCAAGTTCCACCCCTGCCCCAGAGGAGACCTACATATCGAGGCAGACCTCTCCTGACCCACCTACTGCTCTCCTTAGCAGTGTACTTCATCAGTTGGCCTGTTCTGCTCCCGACTCTGTCTCTGGTGAGTCCTCTCACCTCTCCTGTACCTCTGGCCTGTACCCCAGTTCTGTATGCACGAATAAATAAATCTTAAAGAAGGCAACACAACGTAGAAAATGCACTTACATAGTCAAATCATTTTTGAATGCTTTGATGTGTAGATAGGTAAGAGAAGTCTCTAAGCCTACTAAAATAATTGTGTATGAGTGCGTGTGGGATATGTGTATGTGTTTTCCAATACTTGTCTGGATAAAGAAAGCCACACTTTGAGAATGGAAGGAGAAAGAGGATTTGGGCATAAAGAGGAAGAAGACGGTATAAAGCTGCAATGTAAAGCTTCATTCTATGTGACTATTCAAACACAAAAGACAATTAGCTGTTTTTCATAATGCAAGAGGAAGAAGGTATTGTGCTTCTCTAGCTGAATGATTCTGGTTCTGCCTATGGGAAGATACTGAAAATGTCACTGATGGCTTTTATTGCTTCTTAACATTAACATGAGAGATTAATATTATTTTTAACCATCTGTCATTTAAAAGAAAATTACACAATCTTCAGTATCAATAGTGATACAACAGGAAGGAGTATTCCCTTAAAATATCAACGCAGGGCCCTCCCTGGTGGCACAGCGGGTTAAAGCACTACACTAAGAAGCTTAAGCCACTTCAGCATGAGTTCAATCCCCGCCAGCCCCCTAGGTGATCCACATGGCGCCTCAGACCTCTCCTGCTCCCCTCAGCAGTGTACTTCGTCGATCTGCCTATTCTGCTCCCCACTCTGTCCCTGGTGAATCCTCTCGCCCTCCGCATCTCTGGTCTGCACCCCAGTTCTGTATGAATAAATAAATATTTAAAAAATATATATATCAACGCAAATACTGAAAAGCCAATTACTTCCCAACAATGACAATTTCACAAGAAGCCTCAGAATATGTGCATACCACAGTTAAGTAGGATATATTGAGTTAATGTGTAAGAGTAAGGAAGAACTGTTCTTTTTAAAATTAACTCCAATCAGATTGGCCCATTGCAAAACGTAGCAACCTGATGTTTGCTCTGTTCTGGACTTGTTTACAATTAACAACTATGTTCTTTGGGTTGGTTACAGATATTTGCCTTTATTTACTTGTTTGTTTATGTACTTATTTGGGGCCACAGTAATACTGGAGTCCAAAGTCTTATACAGAAATTTCTCTAAACAACTGTTGGATCCCATAATTGACCCTGTCCCCAGAATTCTAAAATGTGTTCAGAGTTAAGTGTTAAGATATGATTTGTCACATTGAATGACCTCTGTTCTACTTTTTATGTCTACATGGAGGGGGTGGGTGTATGTTTCATAAATGTCTTTTACAATCCTATCATTGTATCACAACTGGTTATTTTGAGGTTTGATTGTTTTGCAGTATTGATTTGAGTAGAATGAGAGATTTCAGATTGATTTCTAATATCCAGCCCCCCTCAAATCAAAACCACCAAACCCTGGCAGAAAATCTACTCCAAATTCCATGTGATCAGCTTGATACAGGTTGTGGAATGAAGTATCACTCTACAGGTTATGTAACAAAAGAGGAATTGAGATGTTGAATAGCAATGACCACTAACAAGTTTGCTGCAATAAAAGTGGAGTGTGGGTACCCTCCCTGGTGGCACAGTGGGTTAAACCACAGCATTAAGAAGCTAAAGCCACTTCAGCATGAGTTCGATCCCTGCCCCAGAGGTGACCCACATGGAACGGCAGAACTCTCCTGACCCACCCGCTGCTTCCCTTAGCAGTGTACTTCATCAGTCAGCCTGTTCTGCTCCCCAGTCTGTCTCTGGTGAATCCTCTCACTGCCCCTGCACCTCTGGTCTGTACCCCAGTTCTGTATGCATAAATAAATAAGTCTTTAAAAAAAAAAAAAAGTGGAGTGTGGGCCCTCCTGGTGGTGCAAGGAGTTAGGAGACAACACTGCAAGCCAGCAGCAGCTGGAGTTCCATACCCCACCCAGGAGGTGATCCACCTGGTTGTAGCAGACCTCTCCTGTCTCCCCCACTGCTCCCCTCAGCAGTATACTTCGTCCATCTGCCTGTTCTGCTCCCCACTCTGTCTCTGGTGAAACCTCTCACCTCCCCTACACCTCTTGTCTGTACCCCAGTTCTGTATGCATAAATAAATAAATCTTAAAAAAAAAGTGGGGTGTCTTTGACAATAAAGTAGCGCTAGCCATCTTCTAGAGAATTCGTTAATTCTAGTGAATTAGAATACCTCTTTCCCCTTAGAAGCTGAAGAATAATGAAGGTTTGTGGAAAAGGCAGTCTGTGTTCTGTCCCTAAGTTACCGAGGACACACAGGATGGAGAAACATGATGTAGTACTTGCAATTCACACAAGTCCTGAGACAATTTTCCAGGTCACAGCTTTGAAGTCACCATGTTTCACAAAGTTTGCAGAATTTCTAAGGTTGCAGAGGAAGCCTTGCAACACCCCTTAGCTCCCTTACTGAGCCATTTTTTAAAGTACATTTTGTATCAACTAAACCCACCAGCATAAGGAAGGCAGATGTCAATGTGTGTCCACTGGAGTCTAAGTTCCTGGGAACAGAAATGTTCTGTGTCTGGCTCACCACTCTCTCCTCTGCATGGTGTTTAGAGACTAGCACACAGAGACTCCTAACGTGTGAGATGATCATTAAGCAAGAGTGTAAGAGGGTAAAAAGTGAGGAAGTCTGTATAGAAGAGAATGGAGGTCATCTGAGCCTGAGCATTTAAGGAGATAACAACTCCTTCAATCTGTCAAGGTCTTAAATTTCTTTGGTGAAAGTTGCCTATTGGGTTAAACCATTGTTTTTAGGAGACCACATATGATCCAAACACATTCTCTGGTGAACTGAATGGACATGAGCCAAAGAAGAAGCATCTTTCGAGAGCAAAGGATTTTGAAGGAACATAACATATTAAATCATTGGAAAAGATCATGCAGAATTTTAAATTCTCTTTCTACCCTACTCCCTGCCTCCCTCAGCCAACTTTATCATTCCCATTACTCTTCTTGTATACTTTTAGTTCATTTAGTTCATCACCCCAAAGAATATCAGAGATCAAGTCAACATTTAGAGGTCTGAGGGGATGCCCACCCTTCACCTCATTCTCAGGATACTAGTGATTTGCAGATGAATTGGTGCTTCTTGCCAGGGATCACCTTGGTCAGAACAATTTCATTTCCACTAATATACACATAGAAAAGTGATTTTGCTCTAAACTAAAAAAAAAAAAAATTAGGGGGGCAAATACATTCCCTTGGATATTGTCTGCCTTTTTTTTTTAATTTCTCACCATCTGTGAATACCCAGCACATCCACTGGTTTTATTAAATCTATGACGTAATACAGATATGCCTGAAAGACTGTAGATCATTAAGGACTTTCCTCCCCAGTCCAGAAAATAAACCATCTTTGTAACTGCTGGGAGAAATACACTCCTTTAAAGTTATTTTGTGTCTTGTTTTTATTACAAACAGAAAACATAAACCATGGCACCTACCATCTTGAGTTTTAAAATATGAAAGTCAAGGGAAAACTAATTTGGGAAGAGAGAGGAAGCACTTTGGAGCAGAGATGAAACAGCAATGTTGAAAGATTAATACTATATAGACAAATTGAAATCTAAGTGAAAGTTTAGACAACAGTAATCAAAATGAATGATAACGCAAAGCCAGCCAGATGGGAACCTTTGAGGCAACAATTCAATCTGTTTCAACCAGATAAGATGTCTATCTTGCATTTAATACTTTTTCCTACCCATCAACAAAAGTCTTCACATCCATACTTAGAGGAAAAAAGGAAATGGAGTCATCACTCCAATGACAATTACCATATGACTATGATAATTCAGAATATTCTTATATATGATTAAAGTAATTATTCATCTATTTCCCAGTGAGGAAATTTAGGGTTGATAGTTTCAGTTGATTTTTCAAGATTCACAGCCTTGACATATTTGAAAACAATTTTAAAACCCATTATTTACCACAGACTGAAGAATTTCCACCTCTATACTAAACAGGTAAGCAACCCCACACTATTGTCATTAAAACTAAGTGATCTGGCCCTCCCTGGTGGTGCATCGGGTTAAAGCACAACACTGAGAAGCTAAAGCCTCTTCAGCATGAGTTCAATCCCTGCCAGCCCCAGAAGTGATCCACATGGCGCCTCAGACCTCTCCTGACCCGCCAGCTACTTCCCTCAGCAGTGTACGTCGTCCATCTGCCTGTTCTGCTCCCCACTCTGTCTCTGGTGAATCCTCTCACCACCCCTGCACCTCTGGCCTGAACCCCAGTTCTGTATGCATAAATAAATAAACCCTTAAAAAAAAAACAAAAACTAAGATCTTATTTTGGTAGAATGTTCTGTTAATTTTAAAACAAGATTTTAAACTGCCTCACCTGGAAAATGCTGCAACATTATCAGCCAATGTTTCCTGATCATTTGCTCCAGACCTATAGTAGTCATAAATCGACTTCTGAAGCACTGACTTAGCATGCTGTTCATAATCATTGATACAAACTAGCCGAGGGAACATCGTCAACCGTTATAGCAGCCCCACGTTTGGGGTTCTTTCTCCTGCATTGCCTTCTACTTCCTGACAATTCCGTTATCTGTAAATTATTAATAGACTTTTTCCAAAGTTCAGACTTAGTTCCCTGTTGCTTACAAGTGAGCAAACATATTCTAGACTTTGAAATTTCATTTTTACTGTTTGCCAAAGAACAGCTTATACCTAAGTCAGTTTGGGCCTAGGAGGAATCAGAAAATGATCAGTTATGTGTCACATTAAAAAAATAACATGAGGGCCCTCCCTGGTGGCACAACAGGTTAAAGCACAGCACTATGAAGCTAGCTACAGCCACTGCAGTACGAGTTTAATTCCCCACCAGTGAGGTGACACTACATGGCGCAGCAGACTTCTCCTGTCTTGCCTGCTGCTCCCCTCAGCAGTTCAGTAGATCTGCCTGTTCTGTTCCCCACTCTGTCTCTGGTGAATCCTCTCACCACTCCTGCACCTCTGGCCTGTACTCCAGTTCTTGTTTGCATAAATAAACAAATCTTCACAAAAAAAATGCCACAAAACCACGTGGCTTATTTCTACCTAAGACTGCTTCTTCCACATGGCTCTTTGATCAGCACCCACATGGACTTCCCACTCATTTTCCTTATACATTTGGATCAGATGCAGATCATGTGAGAAAGGGCAGAGGAAATGAATAAAATATCCACTAAATACTGGGCAGCAGTAAGGGAGGGAGGATTCTAAGCAACATGAATTTCAGCTGAATAAGACCAAAATTACAGCAGATTCTTAAAAGAGTTTCGTAGGTAGGAAGATACCATCACCCAAAACCTTGTAGTCTCAATCTAAAAGGTCACTCTATCATGGAACACCTGGAGAAGATTCCGATTAGTAAGACATGATTCAAGAAGCAATGGAACTTAGCTATCACTCAGATCTAGGTTACAATACAGAATGGTCCACTTAAACCTGCTCACTAGCTGTTCAGCAGCTGAGTTCAACTGTGTAAGAATGTTCTCTTGACGTAGGAGCCTGCTCATCCAACCACATAATATAATGAAGTATTACAGAACTAATGCCTCCTTGAAGAGTCCTCAACCAGTGACCTACGGGGTTGGTATATAAGCACTCCAGATCTCTTGTTCTTCTGGTGATTAGCTCCTAGATGTGTATTCTACATTGCAAACTTCAGTTGACCTCAGTATGAACTGGTTGACAGCTCACACTGTATTGATTACTTTCCTTTTATAATCTCAATTTCCTACACATTAACTTAATTAAAAGTTTTGGAATTAAATTAGACATAATTTTACTTATATATAGTTCACCATTGCTTACTATTTGCATCAATGTGGTAAGATATAAAATGACATTATAATTAGAATGTGAAAATCTGTTAATGTGATGAGGGAGTCCTAAAGGAAATAATTAAATGTTGTAGTTAGCAAAAGCATTGTGAAAGTTGATTTAAAGTAACTTAATTGCTGTGAGAATTCCAAAGTTGCATATTAAAGCACCATCTTTTATTTACATATTCATTTGCATCCATAATACTTATTAAACCGAATAGTAGTTTGCAAGTAATGTAATATTGATGCAGAGGCAATTTATTATTCTAGAATGGGCCTTACATAGGCTAAGTGTAGGTGATAGGAAGGAATATATGGGCAAGTACTTCTCAAAGTCTTGTCCAGAGTGTAGACCAGCAGCCTCAGTCTGCACTTGTTACAAACATACATTCTCAGGCTCCTCCCCAGTGCTGCTGGCTCACAAACATTATGGACCACTTGTGCTCTACACAGCCTTCCGGGTCATTCTGATGCGTCCGTTTGTTTGAGAACCACTGCTTTGGCAAGATGGAGGGTAAAGGAGGATTGTTTTTTAAGATGCTTGCATTAAAAAAAAAAAAAAATTACTCATTTTGTACTAATGCAGCCCAAAAGCTGATCTGGAGTATCATCTTAGTGGATAAATAAAATGCAGTTCCCACATTGTTTAATTAATCTCTTGATAGAACTAAAAGAACTGGCTGGAATTTAGAACAGCTTTTGTTAATTTGTTAAAGTTACATTTTTTTAAATACTTCATGTTAATTTAGAGAGAATACATTCTCTAAAACTCATTTCTAGGCATCTGTAAAACGAGATGCTGAGAATATGACTTGACAAAATAAATCCAGGCCTTGTTTAACAAATCCATCCATCCCTCTCCCCCACTTTCTTAATCAGGACAGTTAAGTCCAAAGCCATGGCATCTGCTAGATTTGAGGATAGTCCTTCACAGTGGTCAACAGAATGGGGATTTTTATTTTACACTGGACCTAAGAAAGTTTTAATTCCCTTCAAACACTCCTGTTAAAAACTAAAGTGTCAATGACAGCTAGACAAATAGTTTATTAGATAGCTAAAGTGAGAATCTGAACCAAGGAGGTAGTCTGACAAGATTTTACTGTAGGATTTTATTAAGTACATTAACCTATATAGATATTAACAGTGAGTCGTTAATACTAGAATGTAATTATCCTTCATGGGAGGAGCTTCTAATTCAAACTTGTCCAAACCTAAAGATGACCTAATGCTACAGGAAGGTGATACAGGAGTTCCTTTCTTCCTTTCTAAAGTACACACTGCAGCAATGCAAAGGCTGAGTACCTGCTTTAACCAGTTAACTTTTCCTTATCTGGCTCCTTGGTCACCAGTGAGAAAAGACTGACTTCACCTTCAGGCAGCAAATTTATACATATGGATCATATGAAGATGGCTTTGGCCTCTTGGTGTCTCATGCCCACAGAGAACTTTACACCTTCAACTGTATCTTCACTGTCATTTGTCTTAAGATGCAATTCTGGCTATTACAAAAATGTCTTATTTTCTGTTTTTATACTTTCCAGAAGGTATTCATCCTCTGCCTTTGATAGAATCTTCATACTCCACCTTTCTGAGCCCTAGAAGGGGTTATATTTACACACCTAGTGAGACACAGCAGAATACTGGGCACCCTAAAAACTATTTCATTGTTGGCTTTCTTTGCTTTTCCCTGATTACTAATATGTTTGATGAACTTTTATAAGTTTATTTATGGCCATTTATTTTCACACTTTGTGAAATGCTTGCTTGTGTCTTTGGCAATGTTTTATATTAGATTTGCCATTATTCTTTGAATTTCTTTATGGTAACTGAATTGAAAGTCTCAATGGCAGCTAAAGAGTTTATTAGATAATGACAGTGAGACTGTGCACCTGGAAAATGGTCCCAAAGATTTCACTCTGTGAGAACTCTTCCAACATTCACATTTAGCTTACATACATAGAAACAGTGAATCACTGAGGTAAGAGAGTTCTGACCCTAAGTTATTTTCTCCTAAAGATATGTTGATATTTTCTATGCACAGATGAAGGCAAACGCCAGGGTTTTTAATCACCTTTCTAATTTCTGAAAGAATACTCTGTGGGGATGCAAAGATTGGATACTCGTTATTTAGATTTTAACTGGCTGTTAGTGGGAGCTGAAAGGCTGGCTTGTCTACAGGCAGCAGCTTTTTACATAGCTGCTTTGTAGATTTCAAAAACTATACATGACTTTGCTCTCTGGTCTGCCAGACCAGAGGAAGTGTGGGGTTCCCAGAACATTATACAATAGATTCACATTTATAAACTTTGGACAGCTTGTGGGTTATACATAAGTAAGTTACATTTTTACTATGTTCTTGACCTTTTTTTCACACACACACACACACACACACACACACACAAAAACAATGTCAGCTCAAAGCTCTATGACTGAAAGCATATGATTAGATATATTCATTTTCTTCCCTTCTTTTTCATTCCTCCATTCTGTCTCCCCTTCTCCACCTCCATCCATCCCTCATTTTCCTTCTTTTTGTCTTCCACTATAATTTCCTATCTTATTCTTTCTTTCTATTTTCCTCCTCCACATTCTTTTATTATTCCTCTTTTTAGCCCCGCTTTCTTGTTCTAATTAAGTCAGGTCCTAGATAGATAATTAACCTCTAGCTAGGTCGGCTCTTCCCCACTTATCAGAGTTCTCTCCAATATTTTCATAAACTACTGTTTTAAAACTATGTACTCTAAAGCTGGAGGACCTCCTAGTTTCTTAGACTATGGACAAATAAAACATTTAATCAACTACTAAGCTAGATCACTTCACTTTTTATATCACAACAAGAAGATAGATAAAAAACTTCTGACCCTAAACCCCAATATCCTAGGAGGACATTATTTCTAACAGCTGAGGTAAGGTAGTACTCATGAAATTTTGTCCCGAGTAATGGTTCTTCTTTCCTTTATGAGCCTATTTAGCTCCTATCAAATATGCAGAAGAACTCGGAATCTAATGAATGACACCTTTACTATCCCAGCTTTGAGCTCAACAGTAAACAGAATGTCCCCAAGCCTCTATAGGTTATTATAGTATCCCCTTGCCTGTAGCCCAATTATAATAAGGAAAACAATGCTGCTTACAATTTCTGTGTAGCACCTGAATAAAGTCTTCCAGTCAGCTAACTACAGAAAACAAAAGCAGCTTTTCAGTTGTTCAGATCTCTACGTAGCAATGGGAAGCCCCTTAAGTGAAAAGAAAAATTACACTTTTTTCCATGGCTGGCTTTCTTTCCAAGCTAGAAAGAGATAATATTATAATGAAACCTTACAGCTCTTTTCTTTTGTGAGCCATGCTTTACTCACTGGAATAGCTCCTGAAAGTTAAATACACATGTCTAAGAACTCCTTTATCTAAGGAAGAAAAATTGCACACTAAAAGACAGACATCTTTGAAAAGAAACAGTGAATCAACAGTTGAATGACAACAGGAAAAATATATTTAAACATTTTCTTTATCAGAAAGTGGCTCAAAAATTGTCCCCTCTGGGTATTTGTAAATTCTAAAAACAATAACCATAAATTTGTTCCTGGCATTTCCTCACAAGTCCTCAGCACACTATGTCTACCTTTTTCTCCTCTTACTATTCACATTTATCTCCTCCATTTAAAG